CTGCTCAGATGCAGTCTGAACTCACCATGCTCCAGCACATCATCCCGTACATCCCTGCAGAGAAGAAGGAGGATCAGAGAATACCATCTGGAGCACCCCCTGTGTTCCCTTAGGGCTCTCCCAAACCTCACTTTAGCTTGCTGTCATCCAGCATGTCCTCAGCATCCGAGAAATTGAGCACCTGGTCCCCCTTGGGGAGCGGCTGCACTGGAAGGAGCAGGAGGGAAGGGAGTGCACAGGTGGGGACACACAGAAAGGGGGACACAGGAGGCATGGGGAGGGGAGCTGGGCTCACCAGTTTGGTCATCCAGAAGGTAGTATTGCTTCATGAGCTGCCAGTGCAGCTGCAGGGCCTTGGCTGTCCTGGAGGGGTAGAAGACATCGGGGTGCTTGTGGAGGAGCTCCTGGAAGGTGTCGAGTGTGGGCTGGCTCATCTGCAGAGGGGACAAAGGACACGTAGCACAGAGGATGCCCATGGAAAAGCAGATGCCAGCATGAAGCCCTACCTACAACGAGCCCTGGCCCCACAGGCTCTTACCGATCCCACTTTGTTCAGCAGCTGCTCCTCAGCTTTGCTGAACAGCACCTTGCTCTGGATGGCAGCGATGGCCTCGGGGTGCAGCTGGCGCATGGCCTGGCAGGCCAACCTGAGGGGAATGTGGCATGAGAACCCCCTCTGAGGGCAGCTCTGCCCTTCAGCACCACTACCACACTCACTTGGAGATGATGGGGTCATAGAGCAGCGCGTACCAGCGCTCCTGGATCTCCCGCAGGTTGAAACGGCAGCTGAACTTCACACCCAGGTGCACAGACGTGAGGTCATTGGTCTGGAAAAGCCCTCAGATGAAAGAAAAGCTGCAAATACCATCACAGCAGAAACCCCCAGAGCACAGTGAGCCCTGGGGCCATGGGGGGTCAGATCTGGGGCTGTGGGGGGGGGTCTGACCTGCAGCACAGCATTGATGAGCAGGAGGTCATCAGCAGGCTTCCAGCGGCCCAGGTCCTTGGTCACCTGCAGGGGCTGTTTGCTCTTCTTCATCCGCTTGGCAAGGCTGGGGGCCGGAACGGGGCTGGGCGCCACAGGAGTGGACACAGACTTTGAGACCTGGGGAGACAGTGAGGGGTAGTAGGGTCACCCCAAGGGGAAGTGGAGTAACACCAACGGGGGTGGGTGGGGAGGAGTCTCCCTGAGGGCAGTGGGGGTCCTCCTGAGGAACAGAGGGGGTCCCCTCCCTGAGGAACTGTGGAGTCCCCCTGACAGCATCTCCTCCTCAAGGGACAGTAGGGAGGTCTCCCTGGGGAGCACTGGGGGTCCCCCCAAAGGGACAGTGGGGTCCCTCAGAGCCCCCTGCCCCCCCCCCCCGCCCCCACAGCCTTCACACCCCTCACCTTCTTCTTCTCGCTGGAGGACGGCTCACTGCCCGAGCAGCGCCCCGGCTCCACGCCCCCCTTTGCCCGGCTGGAGGACTTGGCCAAGCTGCTCTCTACCAACTCATCATCGAACTTCTTCCGCTTGATGAACCTGGGCCGAAGGAAGCAGCGATGGGCCCCGTGCCCCCAAATCCCCCTCCCCCCCACCAGCCCCCACCTCCCGTACCGTGAAGAGCTGCGGCGCTTCGGGACGGCTCCAGAAGCCTGGGCCGAGCCCCGTTTCGGCCCCGCCAGCGGCTCCTCGTCCTCGGAGCGACTCGCCGCGCCCGACGCCATCAGAGGAGCGCTCCGGAGGGGTCCCGCGCCCGTTACGGGGCCCCCGTTGGGGACCGCAGCTTCCCCGGGCCCCGCCGCGGCCTCACCATCCCCTCGACGGCGTCCGCCGGGAAGCCGCCATGGACAGCTACTTCCGGGCGCCACCGGAAGCATCTCTGACGTCACTGAGTCTGCGACATCTCGTGCGCGCGGCGCCATCTTGGTTGAGGGCAGAGGTGTGCGCCATTCATTGCGGGCTCGGGGGCGGCCGGAGCCCACCGGAGGGCGGAGATGGGGATGGGGACAAGGAAGGGGGCAGGGCAGGGACTGCCACCGTTGACCCCGCACCCACGATCCCGCCCGCGCACGGAAATGGCCGCAGGGCCGTGCCCGTCATGTCCGAGCTGCAAGAAACGAGGCTGGCACCGTGGGGGCTTCTCCTTTTATTGGGAAGAGCGGCACTTGCGTGGGGGGTGAGGTGTCCCTGCGGGGCTGAGCCACTGCCGTGGGGCTGGGCTGTCCCTAGGGGGGCACAGGCAGCAGTTGAGGGCTGAGGAGCCCCTGGGGGATATGGCAGCACCGGAGGAATGTGCCAGCCCAATAGGGCAGAGCCATGCCCACAGGGTCCTGGGGGGTTGAGCTGTCCCTGTAGGGCGCAGCTGTCCTTTGGGGGACAATCTGTCCCTTTAGGGACAAGCCAGCCCTGTGTGGCCATGCCAGCACCTTGGAGACAAGCCCTGTACGGTGGAGCTGAGCTGACCCTTTAGGAGCCATCACTTTGGGTTAAAGCCATGCTCGTAGGATGGGGCCATACCTATAGGGCTGAGCTGTCTCTGTACCCTTTGAGGAAAAGCCATCACTTTGGAGAAATGCCATCCCCCTGGGGACATGCCCTGTTCAATGGAGCTGAGCTGACCTTCTGGGACAAGTTACCACTTTGGTGCAGAGCCATACTTATAGGGTCATCCCTTAGGGCTGAGTTGTCCTTGTGCTCTCTGGAGACAAGCCAGCCCTTTGGGGCAGAGCCATCCCCATGCAATGGGGTCAAGTCTGGAGGGCTGGGCTGTGGGGCTGTGCCATCCCTTTGGGGACGAGCCATGCCCTGGGGCTGAGCTGTCCCTGTGGCCCTGTCCCACTGCAAGCAATTCTGAGTGTGCCCATCCAGGGCGGGCGTGCACAGCAACACATATGTGTGCATCCCCAAATGTCACCAATGAGAGTCCTTCCTCATGGCATGGCCAGCAGCAGAGGGGGGGGGTCCCGCATGCAGCAGCCCCCTGCGGTCCAGCAGCATGATAGGTGTCCCTGGGGTTATGCTGAGCTGGGGGTGACGTGCCCATCGCTGGGCTCGCTCAAGTTCACAGCCCACTCCTTCCTCTGGATGGTGCCCATCTTCTCCTCGCGGAACTGCTGCCTCTCCTCCCGTGGGATCTTCACAGCATGGTACTGTGGCACGGCCGGCGGCACGTAGCGTGCCCGGCGGAAGAAGCCCAACTGCGGGGAGCAGCGGGTCAGCACCATGGGGATGGCATCGGGGCCACAGCTCGGCCTTATCAGGCAGCACACGGCCAGCTGGGTTTGGGTATGGGGTCCATCTGCCCACAGCTCTGTGCCCACCAGTCCCTCTGTGGCACAGGGCAGGCGCTTTCCACTAGTGCTGCACCAGGCCTTGCACATCCAAGTGCTGGTGCTGCAAATCCTTGCACATCCTGGATTGGCATTGCAAACCCTGGTGCAACCGAGCACCACACACTGCAAACCCTCACACATCCTGCTGCCCTGAGACTGCAGACCCTCTTCCATCCATCCTGAGGCTGCAAACAAACTTTGGCACAGCCATGCACCAGCACTGCAAACCCTCACACATCCTGCTGCCCTGAGACTGCAGACCCTCCTCCATCCACCCTGATGCTGCAAACCCTGGCACAACCACACACTGGCACTGCAAACCCTCACCCACCCTTGCACCAGCACTGCAAAACCCTGCACAACCACACAGCAAACCCTTGCACAACAACACAGCAGCAACACAAACTTGCTACCCCAACGCTGAAACCCCTCCTCTTCCCACCCTAACTGCTGCAAGCCCTTGCACAACTGCAAGCAGAGCCTGCAAGCCCTTGTCGCTCTGCCTGGGCACACTGCATGCCCTCACACACGCGTGCAGGAGGCAGCACACCCGTGCACACCCGTGCTGGTTGCTGGCAGCCCGGGGTGGGAGCAGCCCCGTGTTACCGCTGGCCCTGCAGCGCCTGTTTGTCCACCTCTGAGGGCTGCAGCCCCCGACGTGCCCGGTAATAATTAGCAGTGTAGCGGGAGGTTGGGCTGCTCCGCTTGAAGAAGCCGCACTGGGGAGGGAAGTGAGAAGGTGAGGAAGGGCACAGCCAGCTGGGGGGGAACAGCACGGCATGGCACCACGTGGCTTGGCACCACAGTGATCCTACAGCATGGCACAGCACTGTGTGGCACAACGTGGCACGGCATGGCACTGTAGTGGGCCGAAAGTGTGGCATGACATGGCATGGCAAAATGGGGACGGCACAGCATGGCACAGCCAGACACTGCATGGCACAGCGTGGCCAAAATAGCAGAGCATAGCTCAGGTCAGGTGGCACAGCATGGCACAGGACAGCCAGGGAGGGGACATATCCTGACTTCACCCCATTGCTCACCTTCCAGAGAATGAAGATCAGCAGTGCCAGGACCAGGATGCCAGCCAGCACAGCCAGCAGGATGACCCACCAGGGCACACCGCCAGCCACAGCCACGCCGGGGTCCAGGTAGATGGTGACAGGGATCTGGTGATGGCAGCACCGGTCAGAGGGCTGCAGGGAGGGGGTAGGGGAGAGGAATGGGGGGCACAGGGCCAGACCTGCGTGGAAGCATCCTTCAGCACCAGGTTCTTGATGGAAGAGGTCACCGAGATGCTGGCACGCACTATCAGCTCCACCGAAGTGACAGCCAGGTACTCCTGCAGCAATGGGGCATGGGATGGGGCATGGGATGGGGTGAACCCCTGCGTGGTCTCAGAGATTCATCCCTGTCTCTGTCCTACCTCCAGGAAGGTGCTGTTCCAGAGCCGCCCGCGTGCAGTCAGCACAGCAGAGCGCTCGAAGCTGTAGAGTGGGCAGCGAAATGCCATGCAGCGTGCAGTGCCCTGGGCACAGTCCTGTGGGATGGAGGGGGGGGGGGGGTGTCACGGCATGGCTGCACACCGCAGGAGTTGGAGCACCCCAGGGATGGAATAAAACCCAGAGATGGGCGAATCCCAACAATGGGAGCAGCCCGAGAAAGCAAACATCCCAGGAATGAGAAAATCCCAAAAGTGAGAGCATGCCAAGGATGGAAATACCCAAGATTGGGAGAATCCCAGCAATGGGAGCAGCCTAGGAATGGCAGCACCCCAGGGATGGAAAAAGTCCAAGAGTGAGAGTGTACCAGGGATAGAAATATCCCAAAAGTGGGAAAATCCTGGGAACCCAATCCTAGGAATGGAGATCCCACAGCACTAGGAGCACCCCAGTGAGAGGAGCACCCCAGGAATGGGAAAACTTCAGGGATGGGAACACCCCAAGAATGGGAGAATCCCAGCAGTGCTCCCAGAAATGGGAGCACCTTAGGAAGGGAGCACCCCGGAGATGGCAGCACCTCAGTCCCACTCACCAGCGTGACGTTCCTCCTCCTTTCAGCGGGTGCTGGCACCCACCAGGACTCCACAGCAGGCTCCTCGGTGACCTCAGCCTCTCCCGGTGGCTCCTGGATGATAAAGACACGCATGGGTTGGGCTGCCTCCCACCCCCATCCCCAGCACCCTCAGCTCCTCCATATACCAACGCCAGGCGCAGGGGATTGGCAGCAGGGCTGCACACTGTCCGCAGTCCCGGTGCAGCCAGCAGCTCCAGCTGCAGCGGGTAAAGCAGCCACTTCCCATTGCTGAGCTCATGTGGCCACAGCAAGTTGAGGAAGGCTGAGCCTAACGTCTTCAGCGACGGGCCCCGATTGGACACCTGTAGGGTGATGCATTACCAGGGGATCAACGGGGCTGCGATCCCCCAACCCCACAGGATGCTTGTATGGGGCTGAGCCCCACCAGCACGCCCTACTCACCGTCACCTCGAAGAGCACAGCGCTGCCCACCTGGCTCTCGCGCCGCACCGCGCTCTCACCCCGCACTGTCCCCCCAAAGAAGAGCCGGGGAGGCACCGCCACGCTGCGGGGACAGCAGGGTCAATGCAGCCCTGGGAGGGGGGGATTGCAGCCCCCACCCCATTTCCACTCACCCCGTCACTGAGAGGGGCAGCTCGATGACCACACGCGCCCGGGCCACCACTGGCTCCAGGGTTGGCTGCTCGCTGATCCTGGGGACAACAAAGGAGTTGGGGTGGGGGGCATCGCAGGGACTTTCAACCCCTCCCCGCCCCCCCCAGTGCAGCTCACGTGGACAGGGCCAGCTCCACTGCCAGGTCGGTGGTCTGCAGGGTGATGCCCAGAGTGCTGAGGATCAGGTAGAAGCGCACCTGGAGGACGCAGGGTGAAGGTTGGGGTTGAAGCTGGGGGGGTTGGAAGGAGGTTTTGGGGGGTGCATTCACCTGGGCTCCACGTTTCATGGGGTTCCCCAGCTCACACTCCACCTGCGAGCCATTCTGGTTGGCAAGGCACACCACTGGCTTGTCCTGGAGGCAGAAAGCCATCTCAAACTCCAGTACCCCAGAGACCCCTGGAACCAGCCCCATTCCAGAGCCTAAGTGGCCCCGAATCCCTGAAACCAGCCCTGTCCCCAGCAAACTCTGAGCCCTTAAGGACCAAGCTCATTCCAAACCCCAGCATCCCTGGGATACTCAGAACCAGCCCCATCCCCACCCCAAACTTCTGCACCCCAGAACCAGCCCTGTCCCAAAATCCAGCATCCCTGAGATCCCAGGACCAACCCTATCCCAAAACCAGAACCACAAAGACCAGCCCTGTCCCAAATCCCAGCAACTCCAAGACCTACGGTACCAACCTCATACCAAACTCAGCAACCCCAGAACCCCCAGAAGCCCAAGAACCCCAAAACCCACCCCCCCTAAACACCAGCCCTCCAGAACCAACCCCATCCCAAATCCTAGCAGATCTCCCAGAATTCCTGCAACCAGCTCTGTCCAAACCCCACCATCTCTGGGACCCCCATAACCAGCCCTATCTCAAATCCCTGCACCCCAGAATTAGCTCTGTCCCAA